GGGGGCGTGAACTTTGAGCCTGAGAGTAGGGAGGAGTTGACGACCGTGAGAGGAGAGAGGCGGCGGCAGCGGCAGCCAGCGGATTGATCTCTGACTCGGGGGTCTGTTGGCGGCAAAGACAACGGTGGTATTAAAGTAGTACCGAAGAGGCGGAGAGACAGCACCCGACGTTCAAACGTCGACTTCTCCACAACCAAGGGAGTGCGGAAAGAGGCCGATGATTCTACGGAAAGCCCTCGACAAGATGTTTCCGAAACCACCACTGTTAGCCCTGCGCTTGACCCTGTTTTTGAGCCCAAATTCTGTCACGCGGAGGTTCTTTCGAATAGACTTTTTTTTTTTTTCGTTGCCAAGAATCAAAGCCGACTAATGTTGACAGCGGCGTCCATTTCCAGGGCGACTAGACTGAAGATGTGCTGCGATGGCTTGTATTTTTCGATTTTTTTTGAGCGGGCGTGGATGCGCGCGAACAACAACACATGCACGGACAACACGGTGGGGTTGATGCGTGTGCTCCCTCGTGATCAAACTAGACCTGCGACCACCTCACTGCTGACCGGCGCCACAAATCATGGCCCCGAGTGGCAGGTTAGGAGCGTGATCGACGATGTTGTGTCGGAGTCGGAGTCTGAGAGTGGTGTGTCCGACGAGCTGAGCGGGGAGGATGACGATGAGATGTGATAAAGAATCCGCGATGGATGAAGGCAGATGTATTTTGAATCAACACGAAAAGAAAAACGTCGTTTGAAACAACGCAACACCACCCAAAAGGCACTGCCCCCGCTCGCGACCTTTCCTCCCCTGCACGAGGTCGAAGAGGTATTGCGCAGCACGTGTATAAGCCAGAGCTACTGCTGACGCAGTAACGATAGAAAGAGCTGCAGTACCGCCGGCGGTATAGCCTTTGCGCCGTGACACAAATGAAGGCGATGACGAAAGAAACGCCGAAGTTGATGGATGATGGCAGGCATGTTTTTTTATTCAACACGAAAGAAAAAAGTTGATTTGACACAACACAACATCAAAAAGAAACCGCCCACGCTTACAACCTTTCCTCGCCTGCCTGAGGCCGAAGACGTACTGCACAGCAAGCACGTAAGCCAGAGCTACTAATGGCGCAGCAACGGCAGAAAGAGCTGTAGTAGCGCCGGCGGTACAGCCTTTGTGCCGTGGCAAAAAAATCATTTCACCGAAAAAATGCAGCAGCAGCAGCAGCAGCAAGAAAAACATACGCACAAAAAACAAAAACTCTCGCACATCGTCCCAGGTGCTCCGGCCACCACCGCGCTCGCTTTGCCTCCGCCCGCGCCCACGAGCCTAAGACGACTGCCTACCACCCCGCCCCCAATCAGCTTGTGCTGCTACCTGGCATAGCTCTCGCTGCCTGCTTGCTTCAACTTTTTCTGCCGCTGCTGCTTCTTTTTCTTCTGCATCTACTCTCTCCGCCTTTCTCTTTGCCGCGTTCACCTTGTTCTTTTGTACGCGGGCGGCGTCAGCTTTTGCCGTTGCGGCGTCGCGGCTCCGCGTCAACTCCTTGACGTCTGCCCTCGTCACCAGCCCGTCGAACCTTGCTTGCGACGCCCTGGCCTCAATCGACGTACCATGTTTTTCGACACATATCTCGTTTTGTCTCGAGAACTTTTGCTTCCGTTTTTTCCTCGAGTCCAGGGATTTTTTCTTCCCAGACGTAACCATGAGTACCCGATGAGTACCTGATCTGGGGATTCGCTTTGCGCGACGATGACGCAGTGGATTCTAGCGTGGCTTTTGCGTCACCTTGCTGAGAAGGAGAGCTACGATTTCATCGGTGGCGATTTTGCGTTGAAGTTGCTCACGTTCGTGGCAGCAGGCGAAAAGGGCCGAAAATCACTTGTTTTGTAGAGTGTTCGATGGGTTAGAACAAGCCGATTGAAAAACTGACCGATGAGTCCATAGATATGTCCTGTTCACACGTGTGTACTGAACCGCAAGAGCCAGCTAATTTGTGGCATCGAGTATTTCGCGTTCTTCTCTCGCTCTTTAATATCAAGTCAAAACAAGATTTGGCGCCGGCGACCTGAAAAGCGGGAAAACTTTATTTTTGTGGTTTATGGACCAACAGCCCGACCACACTTATGTTTCATTTGCCTTAGCGGTTAGAGCATTGATCATGCGTTCTCTAGAGGGTGGAGGATTATTCCCACGGGGCTGATCGCCGATGGCCATTTGTTCCCATTGCTCTCTCTCTCTGAAATGATGACGTGGTTGGATTATTACGTCCCTGTTTAATCCCCCCTGCTGACCGCCGCGGCCCTGCCATCTCTGTCTAGATTGCATTGGGTAACTTTTGTGCGTGACATGCGGAAGTCAATGATGCAACAATACCAAATGGGGTGGAGGGGCGTTACTCTCGTGTCTTTTTGCATGCCGTAGCGGTTGGACCATGGACGACGCGTCCTCGAGAGGACGGAGCGTTGTTCCCACAGGACTGATCGATCACCGATAGTCGTTCGTTCCTTCCAGCTATGCCGAATGTGGCTCAAGAATGTCTTGCCTAGTCTGTCTATCCTATCGATATCACTTGCCACCTTTTCAACCCACTTCCTATGCCCCATGTGCCCCAGTACAGCTACCGTCTTCTCCTGGCTATTCCATGCCTGGAACATATCTAATGGGGGAGGGCTGTACTCATAGTCGTGCATGCCGCAGTCGTTCGACCATTGACTTCGTCGGGGG